CACTAGCACTTGCCTGTACATTTTTACTACATCAGCAGTCAGTGCATAGCGATGTAGACGAAAGCGAAGTAGCAAAATGAAAAGATCATTTTGGATGGTAGCTCCCACTTGAAGTATGTCGTTTAGCGATTTTTGGGTAGATGTGCGACACGACGCGTCGAAGACAACACGTAGCTTTGTTGTGGTAGTGGTGGGCCGAAGTACGCAGTGGTGAGGGATGTAGAAATGTGGGCTTGACAAGTCAACGTTTTCAAGTTTCGTCATGTGGCCCAATGCCTCATATTCTTGCATAAAATCTACATATTGTGACTTAACTTCCGGTTGCGATTGAAGGCGACGTTCGAGCGAAATGAATCGTCTAAGCGCAGTACCATACGATGTACCCAGAACAGCGACATCGTTCTTAAAGGGCAATTGCACTATGACTCGACCCGTAGCATCACGATCCACGGTCTTCACAAAAAATGCTTCACAAGCAGCCTGTTCATCGGTGAGTGTCGATGCATTGATAGTCGTATTGTCGATTTGCCACAATCGCTCCAATTGCTGCTGTATTATTTCCTCACAAGATAACAAACACGATGCTACGTTGATAGATGCTGGACCATTGGTAAGCGAAGTATCCGATACGCTGCATGAAGTAGCTAGCGACGACGTGAGTGAGGGTGAAATGGATGCCGTGATAACTGTTGGTGAATTGTATTTGCCAGCAACGATCCACCCCAGCAAAGTCTTCTGCAAGATTGGCAGTGATTCCTTTAACTTAATTTACACGATGGATAGGACGTTGAAGAAGCAATCAGTTCCTAATAGCAAATCAACTCCCTGCGATTTGTGAAAATGTTCGTCGGCCAGATTTATATTCGCTGGCAAGTTCCAGGATGAAACGTCTATGTCAGGCACTGGTTGATGTGAAATGTGTGGCGTTACGCAAAACTCAAGTGGCAACTCAAAATCTGAATGACGTGATTTGATGGTAGCTATAGCCTTATGCCTTATGGTTGTTGGTGAATTGCCGATGCTTAAAATTTCCACGCGTTGCTTCTTCCAGGCGTAGACGTTGCGAAAAACTGTCAGTTATAAAATTTACTTGTGAGCACGAATCAAGTAATGCTCTACCAAGTTGGTAATTGCCTGCAGCATCTCGCACTAATACGATTGCGGTTGCAAGAATTACTTGCTCGAAGGACGAATTACCCAAATGAGTGTGTACAATCGCACTAGCGTCGCGCGATGTCGTTGAACTCACTTCAGATTTTCTACATAGCGACGAATGATGGCGAGCTGAACATGATTTGCATTTGAAAGTCGACGGGCATTTTGAAACGAAATGCCCTGGAGCAAGGCAGTTGTTGCACAATCCAAGTTTCTTTACATTTTCGAAGCGAGAGCCATCATCTAGCGATTTATAATGAGGGCAATCTTTGATGACGTGTTCGTTGCTGGAACATAGAACACAATTACGCTGGGAACTTGTGATAGAAAAGGCGTGGCGACGCTGTTGATTTGCCTTTCGCAATGATTTGGATTGCTCAAACTTCTGTGACGACGAGTGGGCTGTATCTTGTTTGCCGCTGGAATCTATGGACTCAAAATATTGGCAGCGTCTTTCGAGTAGTTTGGCACAATCTTTCCATGTCGGCAAGCTCGTAAAATCGAGCGACTCCTTCCATTTTCGTTGAGTGTCTTCATCTGCCTTTCCAATCACAAGATGTATCAGCATTGCGTTGGCTATGTCGCGGTCTGAACCCAATGAAGAAAGTGCGCTGTACAGCGCCGATGCTGTGTCTACAAGATGTCTTAACTGGCTACTTTTTTTAGCTGCTGCCGGAAGCTCAAAGAGTGACGTGATGTTTTCCATGAATATCAAAGTGGGGTTGTCATAGCGCGACTTCAGTCGTTCGAGCGCCTTAGGATAATTCTCGTTGCTAACTTGAAACGCCTTGACGGTGTCGAGTGCTGGACCCTGCAAACAGTTCAACAAATGATTAAATTTTTCTACGTTAGATAAAACCATTTCCCGATCTATTATTTACTTGAAGGATGTAATGAAGTTGTTGTATTCTGAATATTTGCCACTGAATGAGGGCAGTTTAAGAGCTGGCAATT